TTAAGAAAAAAAAAAAAAACCCTGACAACTGCCAAGACAAATGAGCAATCAATATCAAAATGTGTTGCCATGGTACAGGAAGAGTGTGCTGCGAATCAAAGCTAAGGCATATTCTTTCTGCATCAGAGATAAAGCAATAACTCGTTGCCTGGAGTCAATTCTGACTCACAGTCATCCTAGAGGACAGAGTAGAACTGCCCTGTAGGGTTTCCAAGGCTGTCATCCTTACGAAAACACACTGCCACATCTTTGTCTCTGGTGGGTTTGAACCACTGACCTTTTGGTTAGCAGTCAAGTGCTTTACCCTCTGCACCACCATTGATCCTTAAAATAACAATAGCCACTTGTATTAAGGACTTATTGTGTGCCAGGAATTGTTTTAAGCACCTAATGTGAATTAACTTACTCAATTCTTAAAACAACACTATGAGCTAGTTCCCATTTTACAGAGGAAACTGAGGCACACAAAAAGTTTAACTGGCTGCTTAAAGTCACACAGCTTAAGTGGGGGAGATTAGAATGGTAAGGACATATTCGATACCACAGACAAGTTCTTAATCATGTTGCTAGAATGTCTTCCTGTGGCCATCTCTTTAAATCTGTGCCGAGCACAATGCTTTATAGATGCTTGATAAATATTTGTTGAGCTAAAATAAGACTGAGTCCTGGTGTGGTGCTGTAGGATAATGCACTAGATCTCAAGGTCAGTTTGAACCGCAAGGTTGGTGTTTCAAACTCACTGGTCACTTCTCAGAAACCCTAGACAGGTTCGCTATGAGTCAGAACCAACTCAACAACACTAACAACAACAAGAAGAGTAAAACTAATATAACTTTGAGCATGGTTGAGAATGCTGTACCTTCTTTCTTTCTTTCCATCTTCACCCTTGCTCCTCTAGTAAGGTACTTGACTTGTAATCGTGTATCTCCAACTGGGAACTACAGGTCCTTGGCAAACCGTATTTTTTCAGACTAAGTCCTGCTGTGTGATTTCAGTGCCTGTGTGTGAAGAAAGAAATAGCACAAAATTAATCCCTAAATAATGTATGAGTATTAGAGTTAAATGAAAGTCAAACATTATAATGGCACAGGGTGTGAGCAAGGGAGATGTAGAAGGTGGAAGGGATGAAAGAGGTGAAAAAATTGAGTCAACAGAAGATGGTTGTTGTTGTTCAGTATATAGTGCCACAACACGCAAGGTTGGTATGAACCTCAAGGTCGATGGTTCAAATTCATCAACTGTTCCATGGCAACACTGTACGTTCCAGCCCAGATACAACACCACACCAGGTCTCTCTCTCTCTCTATATATATATATATACACCTGGTCTGGTGCTGTGGGTTAATGCACCAGACTGCAAAGCCGTTTAAACTGCAAGGTTGGTGGTTCAAGCTCACCAGCTGCTCCTCGGAAACCCAATACAGTACAGGGTCACTATAGGTTGGAACCA